TCCCGGCTCCGCCCGCCGCGTTTGCAGGGGGGAGGGCGGCCCGGGGCCCCCCGATGCGGTTCCGTTGTGGACTAAGCAGCGAGCCCCGCTTGTGTCCTTCATGGGGAACCATCCCCCTCCCCCCCCCGCGCTTTGTCGCGACCGGCTCCGCGGAGAGCGGAAGCGAGTGACGTCATCCTCTTCCCATAAACCCAGGCAGGGCCTGCCTTGGCTCGGCCCTCCTGGGCCCTGTGTGTTTCCCAGGCCGGCCTCGATGCGGTTCCGTTGTGGACTAAGCAGCGAGCCCCGCTTGTGTCCTTCATGGGGAACCATCCCCCTCCCCCCCCCGCGCTTTGTCGCGACCGGCTCCGCGGAGAGCGGAAGCGAGTGACGTCATCCTCTTCCCATAAACCCAGGCAGGGCCTGCCTTGGCTCGGCCCTCCTGGGCCCTGTGTGTTTCCCAGGCCGGCCTACTCTCGCTCATTTCCTCCTCCCGGCTTCCCCTGTTGCCGCTGGTAAAGGGCACGATGTTGCCTCGTGTGTCAGGGGAGGTTTCGTAAAATCTCTCGTATGACAAGTCGCCAATCGAGTATTCCCTGGCGAGTCTCCATTCGAACAGATCTGATCGTTGCATGTTACTGTGATGCTGGGAAGGCAGAGGGGTTACAAAAAAAGCGAATAAGGCAGAAACAAAGTTATAGAGGCCATTTTTTAACGTCCGGGGGAGAGGGGGAGAGTTTTGGCTTCTATTTTTTTTTGTTGTCTACTGTTACTACCGATAATCTTTATTTTAGCGGTTTTAATCTGTCTAGCTGTTTTGCATAGGAATATGTTTTCATGGCAACAAGGGAGATTTTTTAAAAATATGCGATTGTGAAACCACAAAGACCGGCTTGGGGGCAGATGGTATTTGACATTTAGTGCTGACTCACTGTTAAACATGAAAATGACTCGGCTATGAGTTGGTGGTTGCCATTTAATATTGCTCAATAAACTTAACCCAACAAAGTAGGGGTGTATTGCTAGATGGCAGAGCCCTGGAGCCATTTGGACTGTGCTGTCCACCTTCAGAACTAATTCAGAGTGTCCCAATAAATAGAGCACTGTGTGGATACAAAGTTTGTATCTGTATCCATATCTACACAACCGAGCCATGAATATTCTGAATATTCACATCCATATCTGTGGCTATAAAAGTGGGGATGTTAATAGTTAGTCCATCTCTCCCCCCCCAATAAGCCTGGACTTATCAATTAATCTTATGACTACATGTAACCACCTCTCCCTCTTGCTGTTTCTGTGCCAGAGGCAGCAAGGGGAAGAGAGGTGGGGAACTGGCTTTTAAGCCGAGCCATGAATATTCTGAATATTCACATCCATATCTGTGGCTATAAAAGTGGGGATGTTAATAGTTAGTCCATCTCTCCCCCCCCAATAAGCCTGGACTTATCAATTAATCTTATGACTACATGTAACCACCTCTCCCTCTTGCTGTTTCTGTGCCAGAGGCAGCAAGGGGAAGAGAGGTGGGGAACTGGCTTTTAAGTGCCTG